CTGGCTTCAGATTTTGTTCTAGGGAACAAAAAAGAGTCCACTATGAGGGCGGTGTGGCACGGCTCGTTGTCGTGATGAAAGATCCTAACGAACAATGTTTCGAGTACTTCAGGATAGTAGACTTGATTTAAGGTTTGCCCCGGTTGAAAAAATTGTTCATCGTTTTCACTTTCGACTTGCTCATGAGAGCTTTTTTCGGGCAGGGGGCGAGCGGAAGCAACCATTGTGAGCTTTGTCGTTTGGAATCCTGGCCGTATTAAAAGAACCAGCTCTCATCGCTTGTTGTTTCGCCCGATTTGGCGAACAATTTTATCACGATGCGTTGCTCTTGACTTCGGTTTTCCAGTTTCTTGACGAGCACCAAGAACACACGTTTATTCAACACGACACAGGAGGCGAACTAAACAAGCTAGAACATTAGCAATTATATCAATTGGGAGAAGAAGCATGCCGAAAGAAGGGAAAAGGTATTTCAAGGTCTCAAGATTACCACAATCGCTGCAATGTAATGAGTCTCATTACTTAATTGTCGCACCTCGTAAGACTGGTATGTTTTTCTTCAACGTATACAGATTTCGGTTTATTTCCTTTGTGTGGTTTTGCTCCTCTTTGAAAACATGAGTTTCGTCACTTAACGTTGCTGCAAGTTTGGAACAGAAATGGACGCGGTGACTCTGTCGTAACCAAGTGGATTGTGGAAACAATGAATAGAAATGAAGTCAGCAACTCACAAGCTCATCAAATTGATGGAAAATTTCGGAGTTTTATAACCCACATAAAGAAATATTTGCCTAGATGCGGCCGTTTGATGTCAAGATTTAAAGTTAATCACTAAAAATGGCTTTCTGACGCGAATATTACAATCTTGGATGAAGAAATAAAATAACTCTTATGCTGGAATTCGCTTAAAGCATGAATACATATATATTATTATATAAGAAAATTATTGTGGTAATCGAAATTCTCTGGCTAAAATGTCTATACTATATATAAGCTGCAAGGAAAAAAATAGTGTCAAAAAATATTGGAATTTCCCAACGTCTTTATGAGTTATCTGAAGCGACAGCAAACTGTAGTCGTGAAACTGTGTTTGTTTATTATTTATTTTTATTTTTATGAACCAAAAAAAAGAAAGAAGTTGAAGTTGCTCTAGCTTTTAAATATGTTTAAAACTCTAAAGTAGATTCCTTGATAGGAACTTCCAAATATTTGGATTTAATTCATATTTCGATTTCTTACTTTATTAATTTAACTGCAAAAATATATTTGGTTTTACAAGCGGTTGCTTTCGAAAGTAAATTTCTTGAAGTTACCAAAATGAAGGCAAAGCAAGTTATCTTGATTCCACTTAACCCCAACGAGTACGAAAGTTAATGAAGTTTGTGTTTATTTTACAGTTTTGCACTATAGAAGTAAACAAACAAATAAGACTACTACAAAAAAACTTTATTCAAGTATTGCCTGGTAGACGAAGAGGTCACCGCGTTGAATGAGCTTGAAATTAAATCGTTTACTAATTAAGCACCTATAAGTATGCTTCAAATTCTCGGAAGAAAATTGCAGCATTTTAAGCGAAGTTTCTAGTTTTCTGAAGCAAGTAAACTAATGAAAAATAAAAAAAAAACTATAAAAACAAATAAACTTTTAAACACCAGAGAAAAAATATAAAAAATTTCAGCAACGCTTAAAACTAAGCACAACTTTGAACTCCAACTTTCAAATAAATACCCACTTCCAGTGCAAATAGTAGAGCAGAAATGTAGAGAAACTGTTTAAAAATTAAACTTTGGCTGCGCAAACATTATTGCCTGTCTGATGAGTAAACAACCAACAGAGAGTTGGAGTAGTAGAAGCAGATCAAGACTGTGTGCGGCGTGATAGTTAGGCAAATCAGTAGCAAAAATCATTGTACCATAAATTAGTAAGATGCACAGAGTACGCCGCCGCACATAAAGTACATCAGCGGAGTAGAAAAGCCGCTTTTTCAACACTCAACACACAACGCCGCAATAAGTACTTTACTGATTTCAATTTGTTTCTTTTTTACTCCATTTTTGTTTGTTGCGGAATTAGGTAAGCTTTCAAGTAGTGTTTCTATTACACCTGTTGGTGAAGCAACGAAATAAAAGAACGAAGTGGTGTTTTAAATTTTGCCTCTCAACTACACTTCACTCTTCTCTAATTCACTTTAATACTTTACTACCACTCTACATACTGCACCACGTCACTTCTCACCGCATACATCCACCCAATTTTATCTCATTTGAGCAACTCGAGTGGTGATGCTTGTGAAAATTTGATACTTGTCTGGCTCTCGGTTTTTGCTTGGTAAATAGCACTCGGCACCCAACCGAAGCGCTTCTAAACTGGGTTGAGTACAAATCATTGAAAGTTAATTGCAAAAAAAAAAAAAAAATTATAAAAATAATAACTTTCCAATGTGAAAAATTATACACAAAAAATTAATGGTAGTCTCATTTCCCCCTGAATAAATCTAAAATATTATTAACACTTAATAAAGTTTGAAAAGTTCGGGCTCATACAAACGGAACAGAATGTATGAGGAATGTTTGTATAATTTCTTAATCGATTAATGATTTCTGCAGTTTCTGTTTGTAGTTGATTCCATTCGGAACTATCATCTCTGCTCTGAAACCTTGCGGTTAATGATTTACCGAAGAAGATGTATGGCGGAACTGCCTTACTTACAGCTCATACGGACCAGCGATAAGTTTTGGCCTTCAGACCTATAGCGACTTAGGTACTTAGAAAAATTAAAAATTGGGCTATATCAGAAACTCAAGGTTTAGTTTTTGGCACAAAAGGAAATACCAAATTTCAGCTTTAGTCGAGAAAAAGGTGGAGAGGTCACTTTACAGCTGAACACAGCACTTCTTAACTGGGATACGTGTTCGATAGCAAGTTGTTGTGAATACTCAAAATTTTTTTAGACAGAAGACAACAATATATTTCCTTTTCCCACGGGTCGCCTCAGGAATTCGTTGGAAGCAATTTTCTGCTTAACTGCAATGAGCCAACCTTCTGTCTCCCGATCACCGCAGTATATTCTAAATTTGTTTGTCAAGGTAAAAGCCGGGAAAATTTGCTTCCCAACAGTTCGCTAGAATACCAAATTCAATTTCGAGTGTTAAAAAAAGGTTGAAAAATCTACTTTACTAGTAACAATGAGAATAGGCCTGCATTAATGTGGAGCCAAATATTTATTTTTATTATTTACAGGAAATTTAAGACAGTTCAAACATACTGTTCAGTTAGGGATGTAAAATTTCGAAAATTGCCTTTGCTACAGACAACAAGAAGAAGTTATGCAAACACAGAAAAAAAAGCTCCGAAATGAAAACATGATGCCCCAAAATTAGATCTGATTTAAACCCATTTGGTTTATTTAATACCGGCCAATGAAGTCTGATAAGAATAAGTGGTTATCTAAAATCAAGAACCAGCTGGTACTTTTTAAATTTTTTGTTACATATAGATTTTCAATTCATGAAAAAAAATATTTATTAATTTATACACATAAAACAAATAACGAAATTATTATTGTATATCTTGGGTTGTTGATAGATCATGTACTCAGCCTAATATCAGCTAAAATCCTAAAAGTCATTAAAAGTACTCGTAAATGAACCAATCAAGTAGCTAAAGAGCTTAAGCTTTAGGAATCATAAAAAAATTATTGCTAAGTTTAGCATTGCTTTGTTAAATGATAAAAAAGCTGCCTAATGTGTCTTTAACTCTCATATAGCTCGCCTAAGGCCCAGAAACTTTCCTGGTCTCATGGTCAGGATTACTTTTGGTTTTTTTCTTTCATCTACATATTTTGCGCCTAGAAATCTTTGGCGATTTTTGGCCGAGCGCCCCCTCCAATCTATAGAGTACATCTTGATGCTTTCCCAACAATATAGACGGACCTAGAGCTTATCATTAGCCGCCTTTGCATAAGACTTGCGCTAATAAGCAAACTTAAATGAAATATGGCAAACTCAGTATACTTGAGGGCAGTGTAATTTCCGATGTTTTAGTTTCAATTTCTGTTAAGTTTAGTTAGAGGGACCCGCCTCTAGTTTTGGATGAAAAATCGACCATTTTTACGCAAAAAACTAAAGCCATATATTTGAACGGAACTTGTTAAAGGGATTTTGCAACATGATTAATATTTTTTAAATGAAAGCTTCTCGAACACACCAGTTTTACGCACACTACGAGACTTCCACAAAACTTTGAACCATCTGACCTTCAGGTTTGGGCTTGATGTATCCATTCGATTTCTTTTATCTAAAAAGTTTTTTAAAATACATAGTTTTTTGTGCGTCTTGAACCTAAGAACAGCATTAATAATTAATCGTTTTTATTTTTTATTAATTGTGAAAAAAAGTACCAAAAAATTTAACTTTATAATTGCAATGAGCATTATGGAATAAGTTTATGGTTCAAGTTGTTTCAATTGAGGTTCAGAACGTATAAAATTGCATGATCCTCAAGTAATGACAACGATTTTTGATTTATACTAAAAGAGGCTGTAGACTTGAAGTTCTTGGGCAATGGTTTTCGCACAGAGGCCGACGGAAAGCATCATTTTATAGCCATCATTTTGAGTTTCAAATAGATTTTTGCCATTTTGAAATCTCAAATAATAAAGAACTTTAATAGTAAACAGCGGAAGTTCGTACACCTTTTTATTCTCACACAAAAAAAACAAGCTTTGCCTGATTTTGGCCCAATATCAGTGGAGGGTCCCCATAAGGTAAGCAAAGAAAACTCGAGAAACTGCGGTTTACTTACTATGGTACTTTTCTTAGAAATCCACACAATATGTTGCCAACAATATATTGCCAATACAGACTTTTTGAATAAATGATTTTAAATAATGGAAGCAATTCCAAACTTTTATAATATGTTCGATATATTCTTAATGGTGTCCACGTAAATCTCCATCACAACAAGCTCAATTAATAAATATTTAATAAGCAAACACTTACCAATTAATAGAAGTTTCCAAATATGCATTTGAATTTGCAGTGCGCTCAAGTCCATTCAACTTGAAAGCATATGCCGAACCGGGAAGCCGAATGGGCGGTGTTGCAACTAATTGCTACGTCTCAAACTAGCAGTTTTTTTCTCTTATGCCAATTTTGCTCCCCGCACAAACACCAAGCCACTCAGTGCACTTCACCGCTCCCGTACGAAGGTTGTAATGAGCTTAACGTAAACTTCACTTGCATCGTAGCTTTCGTTTGGACAAGCGTAATAGCAATCGTATCTGTAACTCACTTGAGAACTTTTGTTTTGTTGTATGTTTATATATGGATCGACTGGCAGCACGCTTTGCGTTGTAAAACACACTCACTCGCTATGCAGTGTAGCAGATTTGAGGGTGGGGAGTGTGTATGTTTGTGTGTGGTATATCAATTGCAGCTTATTCACTGTTGCTTGATAGCGTAAGCTCTGTTACCTAATTTACGGGCGATTCAATCATTTTATTTGCTATTTGTGGTTAATGATATTTTTGGAAGTTTGAGTTTTCTCTGTAAAGGGTTGCAATTAATTTGTGAATTCTTACACTCTAAGTGACCGTTTATTTGCTACATTTACTTCCACTAACAGTTTTGTTGATTTTACATTGGGGTAGATGTTATTCCTGCAAAAAGGAAGAAAATAAAATATTTAGAATACACGCTGTTAATGATATTTGTTTCAAATAACTACTTAGAAACTTTTATCCGCGTTCAATAAATAAAATTATATTTTGCGCTTTGATCTTCATATTAGAAGAAACAAAAATTTATAAACGAGTTTTCTGTATGTTTCATCAGGGTTGCCCTATGAGTATACGAAACTGAAAGAGCATGCTGAAAAAATCTAATAAACTGAAATAAATTGGTTCCTTTTGTTTCCAAATACAAATTATTAAAGAAACTAAATAATTTTTATCGATGCTTATCCAAGTAATCGCAGTCCAGTTATTCAGCTGCCTGTAAGCCACAATGCATACACGAAATATTTCAAAAATTCTGCATATAAATGATCAACACCATAACTCTGTGAATGTCAAAAATCACTACAACTACTTTGCTTTCATCACTCAACTAAAATGAGTAGTTTTATTTCAGGGGAAGATACTCGTTGTTGGCTAGAATCCAACTGGTAAGCATTTCTGTAAAACAACTGGTATTTTTAACACGGCAATGTAGTGCGAACTGTTAATTATTCTACTGTGCTTAATAGAAGTTAAATTCATTTAATGGGTAAGGCCACTCTAGGATTTTGGAAAACGCAATTTTTCATTTTTTTTGTTTTGTTCACAGAGTACCTTTGGTCCTAGAAATGATTTGCAATTGGTTTTAAAGTAAAAAAATATTTCAAAAAGCTGAACATTTTGCACAGTGAAAACTTTTAACGCGTTTTTCTCGCATCCCATGCATCGGTTTACCTGAAATTTCGATGATGTCTGCAGAAATAGTTTTAAAGTGTGGCGCTTCCACATTAAGTAGTTAAAAAATAAACCCGTACGTACTTCTACAGACCATAGTTCTTTGATCATAAATTTTTTTATTTTTCTGCTCTAGACTTCATCCTTGAGAAGAAATCGGCCCTCCCGTGGACGCCTTTAAAAAAAATATGGGTTAAATTGTTAAGAAGATATTCTATTCCTTTTTCCATATTCCTGTAAGCAATTTTTAAACATGAGCCCATTTTTTAATTTCAGAATTGGTTTTAACCCTTAAATCATCGGAAAGTAAAATAAAAGTAAAAATTAATTAACCACTAAGCTGTTGTGACGTACTCCGCATGTCAGCAGAACTTATTAGAAAATTAAATTAAATACCTTAAATTAAAGAAAACGCATAATTCACTAATAATAAAAAAAGGAATCAAGTTTTCCTGCAGCGAGACTTGAACCATGAACCTTATAAGCTACAATTATAGCTTTCAACCCCGTGGCTTTTGTGACGAACATATCAACAGAGCGTACTTGAGAATGAAACTCAGCCGTGGGGAAAATTTCTAATACTACTTATTGTTCTCGTCATTGCCTTTGATTACCCTAAACTAGTACAACACCGTTGTCTCTGTATATCTGAATTCATGCAAAAAATAATATCTCTTATGAGTAGTTTGAAGGGCGGTCGAATCGTCATCAGCAAATACTTTATGGTAAAGAACAAATTTTTCCGCCACGTGCAAATTGCTGCTCAAGAAATCTACCTAAAACCAAGTCATGTAAATGTGATTATGCTCAACTGCTAATCCCAAATCGAAGCTAGCTTGACTAACCAAAATATTATAGAAAAAGGTCACAGGAGACAGTTCAAGTAATGTAAGTGTCTACCATTAGGCCCATGTGAAGTATACTATGGACTAAGTTAACATTTTCCTCCTTGGCTTAAATTAAAATTAGCGTTTTAAATTTATATCCTAAATTTTTTTTGAATTCCATATCACGAATTGTCTCAACTATTGTTGTTTTATATAACTAAACTTAATGTATAAAATATCACAACTTAACCCCGTAAAGCCTGCAAGCAACATTTCTCTTTAATACAAAGTCTCTTTTCCTCAGCAGTCGCGCCAATCAACCAAATTGAGCAGACACAGACGACCAACCAAGTGAGTTGAGAAATGCCTAGACATTCAAGACTTAAATGTAACCCCCATTAACAGTAGGAGAGCACCAGCAGTAACAACACACGCACACAACAACAACAAAAACTACAACAACAGCATACGCAAGTAACAAAGTGCTAAGTATTCAAGAGAATTTAAACTTTTGCTAAGCCAATTAGCGCAGCGATGAAGTGAAATTAGCTGTCTCCATGGTGAACAGCAACAATTACTTACAACTACAACATCTACTGGCTTTACATTAAATATGTAGCTGTGCATGTGCTTAGCTATGAGAGTAAGTAAATGGAAGTAATTCGAGCGCGGATTAACAGCAAAAGGTGGCACTATAACTGCATTTTCTGCGAATATATACATACATTCATACATACATATAGTATTACATATTTATATTAAGTTTATTGGATGGATATATGAACATTTCTGTGCACTTCGAGTTATTTAGTTTCCAAGTTGATGAGAAAATTTTTAAGTGCTTTCATATTTTTACACTCCAGTTGATGCACTTAAAGTATTATACAGATTAAACAAATTAAATGAAAATAAATATAAAAATAAAAACAAAAAACATCTAGCAATTTGTTAGTGAAATTATTAGATAGACAGTGGCGAGAATAGATAATACTATAATAATCGTTTATTGTAGTTGGCGACTTAACGTTGCTTGCGCAGGTAGTACAAAAGTTATCTAAAGCTTCGTCACTTTTGTTTCTATTCAAACCAAAAAAAAAAAAACAGCCACAATATTTGCAAAAGAATAAGGCAATTTGTGTTTGGCAACTAACTGTACATGCTTTCAACAAAGCATTTCATGTCATGAAGGAATGACAATCTCTTCTATGCATGTTTTTCCATTTCGCTGGCTGGCTCTTTCACTGACTAGCAAACAATGAAATTGGCCAGCCAGCCAACAGGCATATCTATTCGCATATGATATATCTGGCTAGTCTTTTATTCAATATCTCCACGTTTTTTGTGCTACACTGCAAATGACATTTTATTCATGCAATTTTTTTGTACTCTTACTTCACTCGAACAATCATTTAGACCCACTTATATGTACACCCACTAATGATACTCCGTGTGCTCCACCCAGCCGTTTGTTGCTCATGTAGCCACGTTTTGGTAAGTTCTGCTCAAAAACTTCATTGACGGCGCTTTTCTATGCGTTCTTACTTCCGTTTGCATTTTAATGATTCCTGTTATTCTATGGATACCTCTATTGTTTTTTCTCTTCTACCATTTTTGTCATCTTCGTCTTTAGCTGTTCAGTGTTTTATTTTCAGCACTTTTGTAAACAATGTGCACAGTTTCGCGCTCTAATAAACGAATTAAATACCGAAGTCCTGCTACAGCAATGCTCGTCGGTAGTTGGATTGTCTGTAGACATGTGGCCAGAGGCGCAAAAATCTTTCATTCATTCATTATACGTTGACGACTGTATTGTCATTTGCAGCCACAAGAAAAAGAAAAAAAAACATACCGTATATGTATCGTACCGTATATCACATTCAATGTTAGTATGTCTGTATAAGTTTAAGCACATCCATATATTTGTACATACATTGAAAGCAATTGTACATGGCGTATGAGTAATATTTCACTTCATATTGAAACGAAGAAGGCGAAGATTCAGTCGAAATTATTTAGGCGATTTTTATGTTTTTTATGAGTTTATATATGCTTGCTCAATTTTACTTAGCATAAAATTATTTTATTTTATGTTCATTTTATAAGGTTTTTTTTAAGTTAATTTTATTTTAGTTTTATTTTAATTATTTTTTTATTTTATTTTGTTTCAATTTAAATTTTTTAAATTTTTTATTTTATTTTATTTATTTTTTTGTTTTGTTTTAATTAAAAATATTAAATATTTTTTATTTTATTTTATTTTATTTTATTTTTTTACTTTTTATTTTATTTTTATTATTTTATTTTTAGCAACGTGGCTCTGCACACAGAACTGATTTTTTCTTTATTTTTTTGTATTTCGTGTTTCTCATTAATTTTTATTTAGTTGTAAGATTGTGTTAACTTTCACATATCAGATTATTGTATTTAAATAATTATATTTTTTTTGGTGAGAGTGAAATCTCGCTGCTCATGCGCTTCTCTATCAAAATGGCAAAGACCGCTGTTGCAATGAATAATTTAATTGTGGACGGGCGGCCTTGCGTGTCAATCGGACACCACTCAATTTCCGACCAGATGTCGGATGCAATTACAATGAAAATAGTGTTGTTTTTATTATTGATTCGAATTTATGTGCTTATTGTTTTTTCCAATGTAAAAATTGTTATTGCTTTAACTTTTTTTTACTTTCCTCTCTTAGTTGATAATAAAACTTTATGTTTGTGTCCATTCAACAGTTGCGTTACGGACACACTTGCAAAATAAATGGCCTGACGAAAGAGCAGATGAATTGTGTTGTATAAGCGAATTTACACGCATATTACAATTACTCAGCCACAATATATCACGTCAGTCTTGTTTTTCTCATTTTTAATCTTATATCCAGTTGTTGTCGTTGTTGTTGTTGCTATTAACTTTGTTGCTGTTGTTATTAACTTTTGTGTCCAACGGCTAGTAAGCTATAAAACAGTAATGTAGGTATGTATATACATAATTATTTTCGTTTGTATGTGTGTGTCTGTCACAGTGCGTGTGAAAAATGAAATCAAATGAAATTAAATCCTTTAAAAGGCATTAATTTGAAGTGCATCGTTCATGCGTAGCGGAATTATCATTCCTGAATGTTGTTATTGTTGTTTTGCTTGCATTTGCATATTCCGCCAGAGACATTGCTTGGTGACAAGACCATCAGGTATCATCTATATGATTGCTTGTGCATGTGATTGTAGGGTTGTGTAGAGATATGCATCGCTGGTAATGCAATTATACTATGAAATGTGAGCACACACGCGGTTATGTACATATAGATAAATGCAATTGCATATATATAATGAACTTTTTTCTCATGCACTGTGGTTCAGACGGCATACGCGTTTA